TTTGATGTCATTCGTCCCCTGTCCATGGATTCTGGTACGACTGAGACTTCAGTTGCGGTCGCCGAACATTACCGCAAAAAAGGGCGCGCCAATCGTCAGGGAGGCCTGTTTGCTGCAAATTTTCACCTAAATGGGCCAGCTAGACATTGGCAAAAATAGCCAAACAATGGCAAACGCGGAAAGACTATTGCTTGGGTAAACCCAATGCCATAGTCACCATCCCCATTGGGCATGAAATTGGGTATCAATTCTGAGATGATGGTGACCGGTGACCCCCAAAATAACCTGTTTTTCCTAAGAGTTTATTGGGTACCAGCGGAGCAGCAGCATCACCGGCAGGAATCCTCACGTCACGTAGGATACCCGGAGGGGTGTCATCCAACATAGCAATCCCTGAGCTACGTAGATGGAAATGGATAGGGAAATTCATCCAACCAAATGGTGGATTTTTCATCACCAAAATCACCGCATGGTGCGCGTTGTGTTCCCTTTTCTTAAGGGAAAAGTGAGAATGAAACAAGGAGGGTTGGCGGCCTGCGTTGAACAAGTCTTGAATATATGTTACTGGGAGGTTATAAACCAGCAAACTTAGTTCAGGCGCAGCATCTTGCATTTCTTATGGCTTATAGTGAGCAGTCATCATATGGTTGGTCATACATAATATATATATATATATATGTATGTGTGTGTGTGTGCCATCAAATAATTGCAATTTATGTGAAAGGGATATGATTGGGTTGATGGTTTCTACCACAACAATGAACCTTTGGTGTCATCAAACACAGCAATCGCAAATCCTCGCGCTAAATGGTGCTTATGGCTGTGAAAATCCTCGAACTGAAGAAGCCACCATAAATAAATTGAATAACATTAAATCCGATTGATCACCATCATATTGGTGGTTTTAATCCCATCATGGTAGTATGTGCCTTAAATCCCCTGACATGCCATGAACATGTCGGAAAAAACCCATGGAAGTCACCGAGGTTTTCCTCTCGAGGTGGATCTGTGCTCCGCGTCGGCCGGGGCACCCGAGGGCAGCCGTTGGAAGTTGGACAAGGGCACCGAGCCAAAGGGATGGGGCTTATTTCAATAAAAACATCCTAAAATAAAATGGATGATAACTAGGGGTACCCCCATTTTTAGGAAACCTCTATATGGAAAATTGTGGACATACTGTGGATGGTTGAGAAATCAATAAGCACCCTTTGATGGTTGATCCCATTATTAAGAAAGGATCTCAACATGTTTCAACCATCCTTTTGTTGGTGCAGGATTTCTTCCACCCACCATATGACAATATGAGTTACTCATGTCATATCATTTTGTACCTTCATTTGATGGGTTCTTCGCATCCTTTCGCTAATTTGTTCGTTTTTTATCCTATATGTATGTTTTTTTTTGTGAATTTAGTATATGGGTTCCATACATATATATATATATGTATAATTATATATATATATATATTGTGAACCCAGCAATATATGGTTTCCATAATATGATTTTTTTGATGTTAGATGTTTCTCCTTGGTCGACGTAATACTCCCTGGGCCAGACCGGCTCAACCAATGGTTTAGCCATTGGAAGGGGGGTACCCTCCGAATAGTGAGAGTATCTGGTTGGTGGTGACTGGAACATTGATTTAGTATGGGATAATGATGGTTAATGATGGTTAATGATGGTTAATAATGGTTAATAGTCACTGGTTGGTGGTTTGGAACCATGGAATTTTTAATGACTTTCCAGAAACAGTTGGGAATAATAATCTATAATAATCTCAACCGACGAACTCCATCATTTTTCAGAGGGGTAGGTATACCACCAACCAGGTATTATTTCATATGATATTTAATTGGTACCCCAAACCAGGTTTTTGTAATGCAGGATGGCCCTGATACCTTTCATTCATTGGGAGTTCTGGGAAAATTCCAATTCAACCCGCAGGGCTCCAAACGATCCGTCTAGCTCAAAAACAGCCGAAAGGCTTTCAAAAAGAGCCCCACAGTCACATGGTTTGGAGATGTTTAGATCATCCACGCATTTATTATATATTTTGATATTCATATATAATTCACATGTATATATATATATACACATATGTCTATGTGTTTATATGTTGACATTTAAATTCAGAGATATGTTTTTGTAAACAGAAGGGCTTAGATCTAGATATTTGTTGTGCCCAAGGATGGGTTTGATTGGTTGGTCAATTTCTAGTGCTTCCTGCATTGTACATTGAACAACGAATAGGTACCCTCCGGAAATTACACATGGTAATTGTTATAGATAGTTTTCCCATTAAAACTGCCATCTGCCATGTGTAGTGAGTTTCCAACTGCCAACTGCAGACTAAAGTAGGAGGGTAGATGGTAGTGATGGTAGATGCACTGGATGAAACGGCAGATGGCCAATTCCAGGCCATGTTGAACTTGGTGTGAGCCCCAAGTCCAGGTGTTTATGGGCAGTTTTCCTATAATTTTTGGAGATGTACTACCATTTTTTTCCGTATAGGAGCCCATATGTATAAAAGGTAAGCGTAACCCCCCACTTAAAGATGTCGAACAGCATGCAACCAGGACGGTAGTTCGACGATATGTTCCGTATTATGTCCAGGGGTCCAAATGTTCCAGCCCCATCAAATTCCCTTAAAGCCCATTGAAGGCTATTAATTCAAGACCATTAAATCCCACTACATAAAGTCCATTATATAAATCCCATTCAAGTTCATTAACTCCCATGAAAGTTTAGTAAAGTCCACTAAAGTCCATTAAAGTCTATTAAATCCCTTTTGGTTTCCATTAAAATCCATTAAATCCCAGAAAAGTCTATTAAATCCTACTTCTTTTTCTCTTTGGGAGATGCCATGTAAGTTTTACATACACTGTGAGTGGATCCGGCCACCTGAGATCAAGCTCCTCCTCTCTGCAGCGCTGGGACGCCAAGTTGGAATGGAGGAATTGGAAGAAGGTTGGGGGTCTATAGATATAACCAATAGAGGTGATTTCACCAATGGTGAAAAGTAGTGGTGAACTAACAATGATAAACACATGAAATAATCAATGGTGAACTAACCAACATTAACCAACAATAATGCGGATTCAACCAAGAAATATTGGGAACACGATGGAATGATTTTATGGGAATAAGAATCGGATTGTAATGGTTTATGATGCTCATGATGGTGAATGATGGTTGGCAATGGTGATTCATGGTAAATTTAATAGTGGCCAAGTATGGGCCATTAACGGTGAATGAATGGTTATGACAATGGGCCATTAATGGTTAATAGTGGTTAATGAATAATCATGGGATAATAACAGTGGGATGATAATAATGGGGTCATAATGGGGTCATAATGGGATAACGCTTGATTATAATGGTAAATCTTGGTTAATAATGGTGATTAATGGTGATTTGTCGAATATACCGATATGGTGTCATCAGGCCTGGCAAACTGGGAAATTCTCAACTAAATGAAGGTTTTGATCGGAAATAATTGTCCATTGCCGCATTTGATTACAGGAGGGTATGTTTTCTCGGAAATGTGGTTGAATCCTTCAAAACAAATAGGAAACAAGCTGGATAAAGAAAGAGAGCCAAAGGCCCGAGTGATTTTCTGTAATATGTTCCAGTGTGAGGTGCATCTCCATGGTCACCAAATGCTATACACCCTGATTCAGGTTACTTTGAATTGGACAGTGTTCAAACTCGTAGTGAGTATATACATATATATATATATTATAATGATGCATAATAATTGATAGTGGTCATCCCTTTGCTTAGCCACTTCAGACTTGATCGACAGCAGAACCCCCCTGTTTTCGATGTTTTACGTTTTGTTTTTGTCGGACTCATATGTAGTGTGGTTTGGTGGTTTGGAACATGAAGTTTATTTTTCCATATATCGGAAATAATCCCAACTGACTGACTAATATTTTTCAAGGGGGTTGAAACCACCAACCAGCTAGTGTGGCTTGGCACGATTTGATGGATATGACTTTGATTTTTTCAGGGAATCCCTGCCAGTAGGGCTAGAGGCTCTAGAGGATCTTACCTGCAGGATGAGTAAAACATGTAGATTTTTTGGGAAATGGTGAAGTGAGCCTAGCCTCTATGCATATGTACGCCGTCATTGTATATCTAGATGATATAATACTATATATATGTATGTATATCTATATTTGTATAATTATATGCATATATTAATTTTGCAAAGGAGTACATATAGCCTTCTAGTTTAACAATTTGCTTATACTGCTCTATTAAAACAAGGTGCTTACACATGACTCTATCTATTTACCAACCATCTGTGATACTCTTCAGCATGTCGAGGCGGTGTTTCACCGTTGAATCCTTGCACCAGGTTTAAGATCAGAGCTGTTATAGGTGCACCAGTCATGAGGCAAGTACCTTTCGACTAATGGGCCCTTTAAAACAAGTCTAGTCAGATGAGTCATTTCAATATTAAGCATTATGTAGATGTTATTTGTTGAGTACCTTTTTTTTCCGTTGCGGTGCTTATACTCCCAATCAATCCCCCCTAGCTGTAACTTCCAATCTATCATAATTATCACAATAAATCGTTCCACTAGTAGCAATACCATCAAGATTGTGTCAGTACATGTCAACTTGGGATTAGTAAACTCTGATATTAGGCAGTGATGACCCTCAAGTGATAGCTAAGTTGACTTACATAACTTGTTTGACCAGGTTTATGCGAGATAAGTATAGTGAAAGTGAATGGTGTTTATAAACCAATTTATAACTCGGTGGGCCTCACCTTGTATATTTACTTGTGATTACTATTGTTATTAACATTGAATTATTGACATTGTCCCTCTTGTTATGTTGCTTCTATTTTTGTACTATGGTATACGTAGTTACATTCGGGTTAAATAAGTATGTATATTTATATATATATATATAGTCTGAGTCTATAAATATACCATATTACTATTACTATGGCCAGATACTGTATTATGTATGTATAGCTCCGTGCCATGGGCCTCTCCACCTCAGTGCTCGCTGCGCCCGCTGCGCCCGCTGCGCCCGCTGCGCCCACTGCGCCGGGTGACGACGACGTGCCGCCTTTGGCGCTGCATGCGCGGGCAGCAGCGCAACTGCTGCAATCAGGTTCTGTTGAGGCGGCCGTTGACTTTTTGAGATGAAGCAAGGTGAGCCATGATCAGGTCATACCTTTTTCTGGGTTTCCGAACTGGGGTTTATGGGCCTAACTGGCCTAACTGGCCTAACTGGTTTATTCGTTTTAATTGGGGAACAATAACAATAATGTACTAATCAACCAGTAGAATTTGAATGGGACATGGGGATATATTTCATGGTGACCCGGTGGATGTTTCAGAGATGACCCGGTCGATGGCCTTGTTGCTTGAAAATCCCTTGGTTGAGACCACTTCAAGCACTTATCTTTATCGGTGACCCCACCGATCTTGATATTTCATCCCAGTGTTTTCATGTATGATTCTTATCCGAAACCATATCTTTATAGTTTGCCAAGGTTTTTCTAGTTGCAGCGCCATACTTTCTGGCTTCGAAACTATCTAATTACTGATTTGCAATTTTTGGTGTGTTATGTTTCATGATTTCCCCTGGGTTGTTTAGCGTCAGGAGGCCCAAGGGCCTTTGCAGGTGACTCGCCAGGGCTTTGAATGTGGAAGGCTTCAGGGCTTGGGATTTTCAGCCATGGTTTTATATTTATGTTTTATGTGATGGTTGTCTTTAAACAAGTTTATTGGACATGTATGGTGTGGATGTCAGTAGGCGCTGTCTGATGTCAGTTAAAATCAAGATTCATCAGTTCTCTGATCCGATGTGGATGCTGGGTAGGAAGGCGTCCGCCATCCAAAGCACCAAGGAATGCCTGAAGGTGCTGGAAGAACGGGACAGAGAGGCCGCACTGGGCCCTGGGTCGCGTCATTGGTTGATTGTGAATTGTGTTTAAATTTGCATCCATGTATGAAAACCTGGGGGTTTGGCAGGTCAATGAGGTTATACATAGTAATACCATAATGTAATTTGGTGCCATCAACGAAAGAGTGGGGAAAAAACACCTTAATGCAGAGGGCCATGCAAGGTTATCCATGTGCATGTGAATGAAGTTCTTTGTTAAGGTCTCCCAGTGTTTCCCTTGGGGGTGGGTTCTGTCTCATTGTTGCAACATTCCTCCTCAGGTCCAGGGCCCCCAATTGGTTTTTAAGTTGGGTAATTATGGTTGGCCTTTAGATACAGTTAATTTCAATAATATAAATACACACAAACAATTTGTATATATAACATTATGTGTGTATGAATATTAATGAATATTTTATCTATAAATATAAAAAAATATTGTATTATCTATATATTGTATTTATTATCTAATCTATCTATCTATCTATCTATTTATCTATCTATCTATCTATCTATCTAATCTAATCTATAACCTAATCTAATCTAATCTATTCTAATCTAATTTATCTATCTATCTCTCTCTCTCTAACTATCTATATCTATCTATATATATATATATCTTTCTATATCTTTCTATATCTTTCTATATCTTTCTATATCTATCTATATCTATCTATCCATCTATATCTATATCTATCTATATCTATCTATATCTATCTATATCTATCTATATCTATCTATATCTATCTATATCTATCTATATCTATCTATATCTATCTATATCTATCTATATCTATCTATATCTATCTATCTATCTATATCTATCTATACGCGCAACGCCTGGGCTTTGCCCAGGCGTTGCAGCGTAGAGGTTTCCCATTCGCAAACAAATGATGTTGCAATTACCGTAATTCCTTTGGGAAAAATAACAAAGGTACTAGGGACTATTAAACAAACAAGGTCAAAACACCGAAATTCCTTTGGGAACAACAAAAACGGCATAACATTGGAAATTCCTTTGGGAAAAACAACAAAGGTACTAGGAAATTTTAAACTCTCAAATCGTGAAACTTAACATTCAATTAGGAAGATCAACAAAGATATTAGGGAATATTAAACTCCCACCCCCGTTAAACCTTAAATTCCTTTGGGGAAAATAACAAAGGTACTAGGGACTATATAAATATTACTTTACTTCGTGTGATCCCCACCATGACATTTATACATTTTCTTACCGGCAAATCTTCTGGCATTCTATCTGACATATCTTCTGGCATTCTATCTGGCATTCTATCTGGCATATCTTCTGGCATATCTTCTGGCATTCTATCTGGCATTCTATCTTCTGGCATATCTTCTGGCATATCTTCTGGCATTCTATCTGGCATATCTTCTGGCACATCTTCTGGCATTCTATCTGGCATATCTTCCGGCATTCTATCTGGCATATCTTCCGGCATTCTATCTGGCATTCTATCTGGCATTCTATCTGGCATTCTATCTGGCATATCTTCTGACATTCTTTCTGGCATTCTATCTGGCATATCTTCTGACATTCTATCTGACATCTTTTCTCACATTCTTCCCGTTGAGGTCCGGCAGTGCCCACTGCGACCTGGAAGTCGCGGTTGAGGTCCGGCAGTGCCCACTGGGATCTGGAGCTCGCGGTGGAGGTCCGGCAGTGCCCACTGGGATCTGGAGCTCGCAGTGGAGGACCGGCTGTGCCCACTGGGATCTGGACTGCAAAGGGGGGGCGGCGGGTGAGGAGGCGGAGGAGGCGGAGGTGGAGGCGGAGGAGGCGGAGGCGGAGGAGGAGGAGGAGAACAGCTCTGATAAAATCTAACAACCCTCACCTGGCAGGTGGGGAAGAATGTCAAAACACCCGAAATTCCTATTGGAAAAACAAAAAACGGTATTAGGGAATATTAAACTCCCACCCCCGTTAAACTTTACATTCAATTGGAAAGATCAACAAAGATATTAGGGAATATTAGACTCCCGCCCCCGTTAAACTTCTACATTCATTAAAGATTTTCAATAAGGGTTTAATTCTCCCACCCCCGTTAAACTTCTACATTCATTGAAGATCTTCAAGAAGGGTTTAATTCTCCCACCCCCGTTAAACTTTTACATTCAATGAAGCTATTCAAAAATGGTTTAATTCTCCCACCCCCGTTAAACTTCTACATTCATTGAAGATCTTCAATAAGGGTTTAACTCTCCCACCCCCGTTAAACTTCGACATTCATTGAAGATCTTCAATAAGGGTTTGATTCGATGATGGTGATGGTGATGATTATGTTGATGATCATGATGTTGATGTTGATGTTGATGTTGATGATGATGATGATGATGATGATGCGTCGCCCGTCGTCATTGCGGGTCCGGGCAAGACCCAGGCATTTGCCGTATCTATAAATATCTATCTATATCTATCTATATCTATCTATATCTATCTATACCTATCTATATCTATCTATCTATCGATCTATCTATGGATCTATCTATCTATCTATCTATCTACCAATCTATCTATCTATCTATCTATATCTATATTTATCTATCTTTATCTATCTTTATCTATCTTTATCTATATTTATCTATCTTTATCGATCTTTATCTATCTTTATCTATCTTTATCTTTTTTTTATTTATCTTTATCTATCTATCTATCTATCTATCTACCAATCTATCTATCTATCTTTCTTTCTTTCTTTCTATCTATCTATCTATCTATCAATCAATCTATTTGTCTATCTATCTTTCTTTCTTTCTATCTTTCTATCTATCTGTCTGTCTATCTATCTATCTACCTACCTATCTATCTATCCATCTATCTATCTATCTTTCGTTCTTTCTTTCTATCTAGCTATCTATCTATCTATCTTTCTATCTATCTATCTATCTTTCTATCTATCTATTATCTATCTATCTATCTATCTACCTAATCTATCTGATCTATTTGATCTATCTGATCTATCTGATCTATCTGATCTATCTGATCTTTCTGATCTTTCTGATCTATCTCATCTATCTCATCTATCTCATCTATCTCATCTATCTCATCTATCTCATCTATCTAGTCTAATCTAATCTAACCTAACCTAATCTAATCTAATCTAATCTATCTATCTATCTGTGTATCTGTGTATCTCTGTATCTCTGTGTGTGTGCTTGAGTAAGTTACACCCTGGGTACCTTGGTTAACCCAAGGTGATGCTACCCGGAGGGCACCACCTTGAGCCAATCTGTGCTGTTTGATTGTGATACTGTTGGTTTGTCGTTTTGGATTTGCCTACGGAACCACCATCAAGCACCAGGGAGAAGACATGAGATTCAGTGCTGTAACATTTGGATGTACATGTAGTTTAAACAATATAAAATAGCAGAAATGATTTGTGTTCCACCAAGGCCCGTCCCGGTGTGTTTCTTTCTGAAAGAGTCTGTGCCTCTCACTATGTGTTGCAACATCATCCTTAAGTAAGAATCCCATCATTTTTTTGGTGAGATGAAATCAACATTTTCCATCATATTTTCCCAAACATTCGGGATAACCATAAATCCCACTGAACAATGGCACTTTCTTTGGTGCGGATGGAAATGCCATGAACAATTTCCTATGGATCCTATGGTTTCCCGATGAAATTACAATTTTCCCCATGATTTTCCGATAAAATCAGTAGTTGTCCCATAGTTTTCTCATCAAAAATGACGATTTTCCCCATGGTTTTCCATGATTTTCCCAGGTGGACCTCAACACCTCCGAGCTCCTGGCCCTCAGCGATGCTCTGAGCCTCGCCTTCCACGTGGCCCCCGCGTCCGTCGTCGTGGCCTTCCGCGCGGCGGCGCTGGTGGCGTGGCTGGCGAGACATTGCCAGCAGCAACCGGGCAGGCAGGGACCACATGGGACCAGCATTTTTTTCAGGAATTTGAATCATATCTATACGTACCAGTACCCACCAAGCAAGTCCCCATAGAAATTGGGTAACATACCTTATATACCTATATAGCCTATAACATCCTATAGCAATTGTTTTTGCGTTTTTTTCACCAAGTACCCACGAAGTATACCATAGAAATTGGGGTCACATACCCAATAGCTATAGCCATAATTCAGGACTTGGCCTCTTGATGGGTACTTGGAGAGTCTAGGTAGTGGTCAATCACTGATTGAATAGTTCCTAATTGCTGGATAGAACTGTATTTGATAGATGTCCTTTCTCCACTTCGTTGATCAATAGCGGGGCTAAAGCCCATCCAACAACCAAGAGGTATCTGTATGTTTGACGGGCAACCACTGGGCTGACGGGGATTGATAAACTTTGAACAAAACACAATTTGTGTTTGTTTTGGATGGATATCATCCTCCGGTAACCAGACGTGGCCATGGAAGAACTGCCGATTATAGGGATCTTCCATTGCCACGTTTCCAGGTGGTATGCATGACACAACAATCACAACAATTGGGGCCTGGGGGTTTGTGTCGCTGGGGAGGAGATCTATATATAAGGGAAACCATTGTTTTTTCCAGTTTTAGTTATAGGGCTATAGGAGATGTCATGGCTGATTGTCGAGGGATGTAATGGGATGTCATCTCCCCAATTTGCCATCTCCCCAAGGATTTCCCAATTACAACCCTCACGGTAAACTGCAAAATGGCCATAGAAACACCATACTGTGGATGCTTACGAAATCCTGCGCCAGTTGGTAGATGGTTTATCTTCTTACCCATAAAAGCACCGTGTGTTTCAGTGTTACCAATAGCCAGTTTACCAACTGCTGCAGGATTTCGCAACGGATTTCCTCAACTCCCATCGGAAGTTTGCCAGGTGGAGCACTCCTGTGCTCGATCATCTCCAGCTCTATGGTCGCCTCATTTCCTCGGACGCTCGCTTGAGACTTGTTTTTTTGGGGGATCTTAAGGACCACCAACGTCATAAGCCATATTTATGCTATCTAAATAAACTTATGTATAAACGGCGATGAGTAAAAGCATTTGCAGCAGCATGTAATGTGCTGTTGTGAAATAAAAGGCAACAACAGATGCGGGAAGTATTCTTAGGTCTGCAAAAGGATCCAAGGTCTCAACTGGCAAGTTATAGCCATGGGAGAGATGACCCAGTTGTTCCCTGAGTCAGTTCGCTAGCCGTGAAGACATGCGGAACAAGTGGCCGGAGCTTTCAACACGTGATACTAGTACATCTGATACATATAGCGAGAAAGAACAGGGGGAGTTCACGAGGCGTTTCTTGTTTCTTGTTCATGAGGTTCGACGTTTTGTGGTATAAGGCTGGTTGGTATAGAAACGACACAAAAGATGTCTTCCATCCGAAGCTCAAGTTGGCCACCGTGTTTTGGTTAAGAGGATGAATTTTCGTTTGGAAATTGACATTTTCAGATCAAGATTCGTCGCATCGCCATGAGCCGTTCTTACTTTGCGTTGGAGTTGGTCGGGAAAAAACGGGGGGGGGTCCAAAAACCGTGCCAGAAGACCGGTTGGATGGTAATTCCCCCCATATGAGGATCATCCCGGTTTCGATCCTCCAAGGCCACATATTAGACTTGGGGGTTCCCTTAGCCTTTACATCGACTTTATCTATATTTTATGTATATATATATATATGTGTGTGTATATATATATATATATATCATAAGTACCTCCTATTTTTAGAGGTACCTGAAATGGCCACTGAAAGAAAGTGGTCCCACTGAGTCGCTTCGCCGACCTAGGCTTGGGTGGAAGGAGGCGTGTTGACACAGCAAGCCATGGACAACAATCGTTACCTGCTGCTGCTGGGGGAGATTATGTGCCAGGTGAGTGTCTTGACTGTGCCAAATAGCGGGTCAGTGGGTCATGTAAAGCCCTAAAAATTCGTCATAAACCCATGGGGCTCCAGGGGGTTTCGACATGTTTGTTGGTACCATTGAAGTAGCGAAATAGCACGATTTGCCTGAACGTTAGTTACGCTAGTTTGTTAATCCAGGATGGACATTATTGGCCAAAAAGGTTAACTCCACCTGAAAGGCGCTTTTCTTTAAAAGTGAATCCCAGGAAGCCAACCTGCGGCAGGGACCAGCATCGGCAATGCAACTTTGGCGACCTCAAGTGGCAACGCATTTCAAAGATTCTACGATATAGTGCAATTCCAAAGATGTTGCAAACCCAAATCCAAGTTCACCTCATTCCAACTTCCAAATCAAGATATTCATCCCAAATCCCAAAATCCAGTCTTGCAATATATAAAAAAAAAATCATGTTGTTCTAAGTTCTATGTCTATGTTTTTTCCAGTACTTTATCAGATCTCGCAAGGTGAGATTGATTTGGAGCAGCGGCAGCATTGGACCGATGCTTGGTGGATCCATAGTTCCATGTGGTTTCCTCACCATCGAAGTGCTTGGGGGTTCATATCTCGTGGCCCCAAAAAGCGAGATGCGCATCGCACCAGCAAGTGGTTAATAAATCCCATAGGATCCATGGTGCTGCTATATATGGTAGCATGGATCCCATCAATATACCCCCAATGTTACTATATATATCAGCACCATGGATCCTATAGGCATGTTAATATTAACACAGTAAGCCGTACTTTGTCGCCCCCCCGAGCTAGAAGGACGGGAGTCGTTGCAACATATTGCAACCACTTAGGAGTTAGCCTCGCGTTGCTTCGGCGCGGACTTTTGGCGCTCGAGTGGCTGGGCCTGGGGGAAGGAGGAAGGATGTGACATGGTGATGGGTCAAAACCTATACAAGACTATATTTGGATATATTTGAAGGGTATTAAATTCATAAATCCCAGCTAATTGATTAATTTCGAATTCTTTCGGGTTCGGTTCATCAGGCTACCAGGTTTTTGAGCGAGGATACCATATGATTAGAGTTTGTGATCAAACCTGGAAATGGGAATTCCTCATGTTTGATGGATAGATGCAGTAAAATCTTTTGTAAATTTGAAATGGGGCGTTTCTCTGGCCATGTCAAGTCACGGCAAGGACGTAAGACATTGCTTTCAATGGAGGGATCATCCCAAACGACATTGGTTTATCTCTGAGTTAGGCAAATGATTTGCCCAGCAAGTTGACCTGCATACAATATGAAATATGGAACGATATATACGATATGTTGATCTGCTCATTCTATGGACCGTCCCTCCTTCAAACATCTACTAAGTTTCTGCCTCCTTGCAGAAACTTGAACCTAGCTAGCCTAGCTACAAAACTGCCCTGAGGAAAACCACTGGTCTCCCCTGCCATGTCCATTTGCCAATATCTGCCATGTTTCTCAAGTGGGAGCAGCCCCCCATGGCGCCGCGTGGCGCCTGGCTCCTGCCAACACTAGTCGGTGCATGTCTCTCGTCCTTGACGTTCCTGCGCCCGGCCGCGCCGCGCGGGGTGCGGAGACTTCGAACGGCCCGGGCAGCCGAAAAGGATGCGGTGGACGCAGTGTTGCGGACGGTGAGCGGCATGAACAGTGATGACTTGGAACGATTGGTGGAGGTGAAAGGGGAAGGGAAGGTGAAATTTGGTGAAATTCATGGGAGGGATGGCATATATTTAGCATTGTATGATATCTGAAATTCATGGGAGGTATGGCATATATTTAGCATTTTATGATATTTGAAATTCATGGAGGGGATGGCATACATTTAGCATTTTATGATATTTGAAATTTATGGAAGGGATGGCATATATATTTAGCATTTTATGATATTTGAAATTCATGGGAGGGATGGCATATATTTAGCATTTTATGATATTTGAAATTCATGGGAGGGATGGCATATATTTAGCATTTTATGATATTTGAAATTCATGGAAGGATGGCATACATTTAGCATTTTATGATATTTGAAATTTATGGAAGGGATGGCATATATATTTAGCATTTTATGATATTTGAAATTCATGGGAGGGATGGCATATATTTAGCATTTTATGATATTTGAAATTCATGGGAGGGATGGCATATGTTTAGCATTTTATGATATTTGAAATTCATAAGAGGGATGGCATACATTTAGCATTTTATGATATTTTTGAAATTCCATGGAGGGATGGCATAATATATTTCGCATTTGTGAATGATCTTTGAAATTAATGGGAGGGATGGCAATATATTCGCATTTTATGATATTTGAAATTCATGGGGGGGATGGCATTATTTTCGCATTTATATGATTTTGAAATTCATGGAGGTATGGATATATTAGCATTTTATGATATTGAAATTCATGGGGGTATTGCACTGATAGATATTTGAAATTCAGGGAGTTGGCATATATTTAGACATTTATGATATTTGAAATTCATCATGGGGAGATGGCATATATTTAGCATTGTATGATATCTGAAATTCATGGGAGGGATGGCATACATTTAGCATTTTATGATATTTGAAATTCATGGAAGGGATGGCATATATTTAGCATTTTATGATATTTGACATTCATGGAAGGGATGACATATATTTAGCATTTTATGATATTTGAAATTCATGGGAGGGATGGCATATATATTTAGCATTTTATGATATTTGAAATTCATGGGAGGGATGGCATATATTTAGCATTTTATGATATTTGAAATTCATAAGAGGGATGGCATACATTTAGCATTTTATGATATTTGAAATTTATGGAAGGGATGGCATATATATTTAGCATTTTATGATATTTGAAATTCATAAGAGGGATGGCATATATTTAGCATTTTATGATATTTGAAATTCATGGGAGGGATGGCATATATTTAGCATTTTATGATATTTGAAATTCATGGGAGGTATTGCATATGTTTAGCATTTTATGATATTTGAAATTCATGGGAGGGACGGCATATGTTTAGCATTTTATGATATTTGAAATTCATAAGAGGGATGGCATACATTTAGCATTTTATGATATTTGAAATTCATGGGAGGGATGGCATATGTTTAGCATTTTATGATATTTGAAATTCATAAGAGGGATGGCATACATTTAGCATTTTATGATATTTGAAATTCATGGGAAGAGGGATGGCATATGGCATTTTATGATATTTAATTTGCAGGATTGTTGGTAGTTCTTTCGATATTAGATACCGTGCAAACCTGCCAGCACCCCGAGCCCAATGATGCCATGTAGATAAGAAACCGTAAGGATGCCACAGTGGATCATACTGTGGATACTGGGATAATGCCTGGTTGACGGTCTTAGTCCGTTCGCACGTAATTATATTAAATTATATGCATATAATTAATGAATATTAGTAATATATATATATACGCTCTGGTAAACTAACATAGCTATTGAAAATGGCCATTTATAGTGGATTTACCCATTAAAAATGGTGATTTTCCATAGTTACGTTAGTTTACCAGAGGGTATATATATACACATGCATGAATAAGATATTTAATCATATTGATTTATTCGCACGTCAAACTGTGCGGCTGGACGGTATAGCTGTGCGTTTTCCTTGTCGTTTGCGGAATTCAATATCGTGTTCTTTTCAAAATACTGCCATGGGTAGTTTGTTTATTTTCATGTTGATTTGTTGATTCCTCTCCATTTTCACTGAACCATCCCAGTTCTGTTGATTCCTGTTTGGTTTTCCAGTTTCCTCCCTTTTTTTGTGGATACATGCCCTCTGGTAACAGACTCTGGTACTCAAACATTTAAAGATGATTTTCCCATTAAAAGCTCCATTGAGTTCAGGGATTTCCAATTGCCACCTGATTTTCTTCTCCTATTCCCCGAAATCCATTGAAATCCCATTGAAATCCCATTTAAACCACCCAAAAAAATGCCTTGTTATGGTTGGTTCCCTTGGGGATCAGCACCTTCGCCAGGAGTTGATGCCCACCCTGTACCGGAAAAAAGTGGCGCTGCGGGATCGCTTGAGACCTCGTCGGATCATCCTCGTGAGACATGGCCAGTCCGAGGGGAACAAGGATTCACGTGCCTACGAGACTTGACGGAAAACGGAAAACCCGGCTGGTCCCTTGACGTAGCTGGGAGATGTGAACAAAAACATCCCCTTAAAAGGCATGGAACCATGGATGATTATGGCATTACCATTCATATTTGTTGTGTTTTGAATATGTTCCACATAAGTATAGTTTCATGGCACTGGGGAACAGTATTGGACTATAATGATTGTATAATATTATATATGTAATTTCCAAAACTAATAGTACCCACAGACACCTTGTGTTGCCCAAGCCCGGAATAGCGTAAATTACAATGATTTTTTGTTCACACTATACATCTCATATAAATTATCCCACCCCCGTTAAACTTCTACATTCATTGAAGATTCTTCAATAAGGGTTTAATTCTCCCACCCCCGATAAACTCTTGCATTCATTGAAGATCTTCAATCATCATCATCATCATCATGAAATTTGCCGGGAACGTCCCTGTAAACTTCCGGGCAACACAAGGCGTCTGGCCGTAATAGTACAATTAATGGAGATAATTAATGGGATGCTAAGCGGGATGATATAGCTAAGATTAACAATGGGAAGAAACTGGTGGATCAAGAACCTAAATCCAAAACTTGAAGCTGCTTGGATGCATCGGTTGTGTCGGTTGGCGGGCTTCATTTTGTTTTGTGCAAAATGAATGGATTGGTTGAAGGGGAAATCTAAAGGAAACCGTAGATTTTATTTCCCACGAAATATGGGGCTTTCCTGTAATTTTTCCCTTAACCAATCCACTGACAAAAGTGTTCAATTCATTCTTAGGTGATATTGTCGCATGGTATTTGGTGCCTTTGGTACCCTCAAAACTCAGCCCTTGGCCTCAGTGCGTTGGATTTCTTGTGGGCTGTGGACCAACATTTGCATGGAACCCGAAACAAAAACTGGACGCGTATGTTCAAAACCATGAGCCAAACAAATAGTGTTGGCCCAGTGGTACCTCCAATTTCTTGCGGTAAAACACCATCAGATGATTTTCCCAGGGAACTAAAGCTGGCTCGGGGATTCTCCAGCGGCCGGCCATGATTGATGACACCGGAGGGTATATTCGATAAATCACCATGATTAATCATGATTCATCTTTAAAGGCACTTATTACCAGCCATCTTTAAGCATTACTATATTAGCGTTATTCCATGTTATTCACCATCATCAACCATCATATACTGTAATATCCAAGCCACCCAACCACCCAACCACCTGGTTTCGAGGAGGATATCCCGGACAATCAGATTCAGCTGACGGACCTGGGCCTCCTGCAGGGTGAAGCCGCAGGAGCCCAGATTCGCACACTGGTGGGCAATGGCACGGTGCGCTTCTTCTATTCACCTTATATGAGGACCGGGTGGTGCCAAAACCGTTTGGCCAAAAGGGACTTGGTGGTGTTCATCCTGGTTTTCTGGGGTTCTGTGATTCTGCGATTTCTGAAGTGTAAATCTGTGAAGCATTCAGAGTTTCTTCTTTGGAAATTGATTTTATGAAAACATGCAGGAGTTTCCATGGCTACAGCCTCCAAGAACATAAGTGGCATTGGCAAAATTAGGCCTATGAAAGCATGGCAAATAGCCCATGGTGCTACACAAGTCCGGTACCAACTGATGGTTGGAACCTAGTTATTTTTCAGAGGAGACGCCCTTTTTCTCCGTTTGTTTCGGCACATATTCATTGTTGTTGACGACGATCCGTTTAAATATAGTTGCTTTGGTTCTACACAGCACAGTATGTTTAAAGTTTTAACAAATGGTTTATGTCATAGCATGGGTTATAGTTGTATCCCCATTTGTCCATGCTTATATCACCGTGTTGGAAACGCATTATTTGATTGGTTAAACCCACGCTCATGATTTTGGGCCACAAGTATCTCTGGTGGCTGTGATATTGTGGTTAACCAGTGAAATTGTGGCAAGATGTGGTATAAGTAAGCCCTAAAACATTTGGTGCGTGTGTCTTTTGCAGATAAAACACAAATGAACTAGTCTGAGACCACCTACTGTTTCTGGTTTTCTAATGGTGTCCTTGAAATGTCCAGGACCTTTTTATTGAATAGTGGCCTTTGTCAAATTTCCATTGCTTCCCCCCGGATCCGCTGGTGCTCCAGGACTAGACAAACCCTCCAATGTGTCTTGAAAGCTTTCGAGGGACAGCAGGTGGAGATGTGCGCAGAACCTCGCCTGCGCGAGCAAGACTTTGGCAACTTTCAGGATGCGGAGCAAATGGCCAAGGTCTACGAGGACCGAGCTGGTCAAGGGTCGGGCCCTGGGAACATTGATGCCTTCCAGATACGGTGCTGGAGGGAAATCCTCAGAATTTCGTCAACTTTCATAGATAGGTGAAATCCCAACAGAGTAGTCTTGCAGAGATGTACAGAAATCCTTTACCAAAATCAAGGCGACCAACGGGAACTTGAACTTTTTAGCCAATCTTATCACCGCAGAAAACCCAGATTATAGGGCAAGTATACTTAGGTCTCGAGATCAGTATGGGAAGAAACGAGTTGGTCGCCCGAGCCCAAATGTGCTACATTATGCTAAACAACATGTTTTCGAGCATTTTTTTCATGATTATGAATACAATGAGACAGTGGTCCAGACACGCGGATTTATAATGCAACCATAACACATTTTTTTAAGCTGCACCACGGACCTGAGGCTTTGCCCACGCCTTGCGCCGACCATGGCTAATCTCATTGCAGGGTATGGCCGGGAAAAATAACTGGATGAACTAACCGCACAACAACTAACCGGTGCCAATTCGTGGGGTGACCCTCCAAGCATGTATGGTTTTATAATCAATCCCTCATTTTAACTCATTTCGAACCTATGGTTTTTGCATAAAACAAACCTATTGATACTACATGGGGGATTGTCTTCATTTGAGTTTTTGTTGAGACGTTTTTTTTGCGGAACCTTTTCCCACCGGGCAACCAAGCACCAGGCACCACGTTTTTTAGTGTCACAGTGTGCCGAGGAGCGGCAGAAGTTCGGGCGCTTCTACTACCGTTTCCCCAATGGCGAGGCCGGGACGGACGTCTTCGACCGCGTCAGCGATTTCTGGTCCACCCTGCTCCGGTCCATGGACACGTCGCCTGTGGAGAACCTGGTGTCGCTTTGCGGGGACTGGGTGGTGCTGGTGAAATAGTTGTGAAGGCTCATGAGGTGAACGTGTTGCCCTTCCCAACAAAAAAACTAGCGAAATGGAGATTAAATTAGCCAAACAGTGGGATTATCATGGTGAATCACGTTCTATTTTTTGTTCTAAAATAGGGTGCCTCAAAATCCAGCGCATGGTTTATCATAATTGTCCCGCCAAAAAATCTTAAAATGTTAATTTTGGGGTACCATGTGAGAAGAAAACTATAGAAGAGAAGAGCAGAGAAGAGAATAGAACAGAATAGAGCAGAATAGAACAGAATGTAGAATAGAATGGAATGGAGTAGAATAAGGAGATAGGCTTGGACAGGGTGACCTGATGGCGATGTAGAGAGAGAGAGAGAGAGAAAGATATAGGTTGGATATGGTTGGATTAGATTTGGTTTGATTGGCGTTGACAGTAGATCCATAGATCGATTGATCGAAATTAATTGATGGATTGATTTGTGGCAGTCAATTTGGACATTGATCACTACATGGTTTGGTAAGGTACCAAAGCCTAGCCATGTGTGGGTGGGTCTTTGGGGCATGATTGAAAGTTGATTTGTCACCAGTTCAGTTTCACTGAACAATGACGGACTCGAATGTTGATTTCATAGTTGAATGATGTAGATATTGAGATTGTCTATTCATCTTTAGACCCACTTTTGCGTTCTTATTGGCATTTCCATACGTTTGCCGCTTTCCTAAAATGTAGGTACCCCCAAATTCATCCAGAATTTGACTATATATTTTAGTATTGAAACAACATGAAACAACCATGGTGATTTGGAGATCACCCTAAAGAAGCCATTATTTGTATCCATTTGTTGATTTCTAATGCTGATAAATTTGCTGCATCAAGGGATCAAGCTCCGATGCCGAGGTTAGTGACTCACGGTTTGTTGATGCGCATCTTCTGCGGCTTGGCGCTTAAGACTTTCACAGATCGCGTTTCAGGAGCCATTGGTTCCTTGAAATCACGACATTTTGATGATGTTTAATGATGATGTTTAATGATGCTTAATGATTGTTAATGCTGATTAATGATTGCTCATGCTCATGATTGTTAATAATGATGATTAATGGGTTATACTACCGTTATAACATGTTATAACCTCCAAACTAAATGGATGTGGGAAAATCATCTTTAGATGAACTATTTTCATCTATTTTCCACATCTGTATTAAATAACGATACCGGTAGATTCAATTGATTAAACTCCCACATATCCCCACGATTTATTTGATACATCCAAGTTCACCTCATATTTCTGGCTCTTACCATATTTTCGGGGGGTTAGTTTCATCCCTAACGTTACGTTACTGGCGCGTAACTGCGTGGGATTCCCTGAGCGTGGCATATGTATGTGGCTAGAAACATCTATAAGCCACACTAGAATATAGCAGAACCGAGTTCATAAGGATTTTACAAACTTGGGTTATATTGATTTAAACCATATTTATACTTTGTTAATATATATATATATATATATGTGATTGTGTGTGTATGGCTTCGAACCACTGATAGATTATTGTTCATGTTGTTCAACAACATCATCTGCAGCAGGTATGGTCTATTTCCACTGGACGGTGGGGGAGTGCGAGGAAGTTTGGAATCCCTCCAACTGCGAGGTGTGGGCTTTAGAGATGCTCCGGCGAAAGGTTGGTCCTGGTAGAACCATCATAGATTTTACGGGAAAATTTACAGGAAACTCTTATTAATGCAACCAATCAAATGATCATAGATGTTTTTGCCACGAACAATGAAATAATATTATTTGTCATTCTAGGGTGGTCTTAACCTGTATAATCTGTATATATTTTGCTTGGTTGGGGTGAACTGACCTATTTTTTGTGAATCTAGCATAATCTAGCCACGAATCATGATGTGGCCCACTGGCCGCATGTGACTGGTGTCATTTAACTGGTGGCTTGCAAAATAAGTGAAGCACCAAGGAGTTTAAAGAGAAGATGAGGATTTCACAAGGAAAACTGGGAGCACCAATGTACGGTGGGGGCTATGTAGCTGACAATGATGGAAGTCTATTTGATGACTTGTTTGACATATATTTTTAAGCAAGCACTTCTTATACATGTTGGATTTTCTCCAAGACTTTCGAGCTCGGAATGAGCAGCCGGGAACAGAACTAGCATCGGTTTTCTCCGGCGAGGCCCCAAAGCCATCAGTTGACGCACATAACTTGGTGAATCCATATGGTTTGTGAGATTTTATGAGGTGGAAATCACGAACATAACTAGGACCATTTAAGAAAACAACTATTGTTGCTGCTTCACCATTCACTATGTTTTTTTTTCATGTTTACTTCGCTAAATTTGTTCAGTTCTACGGTTATTCGGTTACTGTATTAACTACTTATGGTGTAAACTTACCCCCAGTGAGATTCACGATGGTTGAATTCTATGGCTGTTGTTGCTTCACTGGTTTAATTCACCAGGAACTTGGGTCAATTCCATGGTTGTTTGAATTAAAGTTTTCAAGAATTTCAGTCTAGGGTTGAAAAACTCTTCAAAACTAGAAACTTTGGTGTAAAAATACTTTAAAGATCTTTAAAGATAAATGGTTTAATTCAGTCTATTTTTCAGAGTCTTTGAATTATGGCTTAACTCTAGTATATTCTAGTTACCCAGTGAAACTGAACCAACCAGATTATATACCAGAGGGTAAACACTTGGTGAATTTTATGGTTTATAGTGGATGTCACACGATATTACTTTACTTCACTACAATAATCACCAAAAAAAATAGAAAAGTGTAATTTCCCACAATCTTGATGGGATTTTACCATTTCTACATATATACATTCAATGTCTGGCCGCTTGACGCAAAGCCATTTGCTCTCAAATGAACTCTGAATCCCAGAAAATCCAGATCTAAAGTGAGCCATTTCCGCCACCGCCACCTTTGCAGCCCAGCTGAAGAGCTGACGCGGTGCTCTGGCTGGGAGGTGCGGTGGCAGCGCAGCGGCCTGATCTTTGCTGGCAAGCTTTGCGGAAACATTCGTCGGCATTTTCTAGATCGAGATTTTGATTGATTTGTGGATTTGACGCTGTTCCCGGATGTCTTCGTCAACCCCAACTTACTACATCAAGTTAGCGCATCCCTTCAAGGAACCTCTCTGGCGACAAGCTGTTTTGGTCACCCCCCAGAGAGGAGATCAGCCAGCAACCTTGGCCGTGAGAGCGGGGCTAGAAGAAGTCGAATTTGTGAAAGAGTTTGCGCAGTTCAGGGTAGAATCGCTATGCTTCGTTCTTGTGCAAGGACGAAAGGGGCAAATTCGGACGAGCTGTGCAGCTCCTTATCGCAGCTTGGAACTAGCAGCGCAGCAGGTAGCCAGTGCAGCAAGCAGCACCTTGGCAGACTTGGGGAGCGATGCCAACTATGTCACAGCCTCAGAAGACCCAGAGGTCAAGATGGAGAGAGCGATGGACGAAGAAAGCAGCTCGCAGAGCGCAGAGAGCTCAGAGGACGAAGAAGATCCAGTTTTAGCACTTCTAAAGAAGCAGACCGAAAAGAGCAAAGCCGAAAGTTCTACCAAACACGGCAACAGAAGCGTGAGAGAAGAGCTTGGCCAAAAATCCAAGAGCCGGTATCCTTTCTTGGACCAAAGGGCCAGGGCCGGAAAGAAGGCGAGTGGAGACATGGATCAGCTTCTGAACCCTGCGCAAGTGAGCAAAGACGACATAGGAACTCTGGTATCGTTAGAAATTTTGAAAACATTGAAGAAGTCGCGGAAGAAAGGCCGCGCCAGATCCTCCAGCCGCAGCTCAGAGGCAAGCTCTTCAAGCAGCAGGGGCCAACAAGTCAAGCCCATAGGGACTGCCAAGGCATTTCGAAATTATCGGAAGGCCAGAAAGGCACTGCGACGGAAGCCACTACGACATGTGAAAAGGTACCTTCAGGAGATCGAGGATTTCTTGGGGTGCGACGAGTCCACACCCTACCGATTGGCAGACTTCACAAAGAAGTTGAGCTGGGGAAAGATGCGCACCTTGCAGCGGTGCCATCTCATGACCAGCGAGGCGCTTCAGCTGCTGCTTCAGGGCAAGGTCGAAGAGACAGCTTTGCAACTGGTACTGAACCTACGAGCAATGTATCAATGCAGCTTGGACGGAGGAAGTTGGACCTCAGCCTGGCTTCTCACCTACCTTCCAGATCCTCTGGAGAAACCGCGGTTTGGCGCAGATGCCGGTCTTGATCCCAGCCAATCTTTCATGCCTGCTTTCCGGGTGGTGTGCATGGGTGACACTAATGGCGTTGACATAGCTCAAGGGGTACATGAAGCCATCCTAAAAGAAGCAGATTGCATGAACCCATCCAATGTCCTTGTTTACCGCAAGCGCGAGTCAAAGCTTTTGTCACAGTCGTTTGCGCAGCTTTTTGGGCGCGAAAACTTTTCCGACGTAGTCTGTTCCTGCTGGTAATGTTGTGCATTCTGAGACCAGCATTCTCGACATTGCTTACCAAACTAGGCATGAATTTGCTTAGGGTTTTCTTACGGCGCCTTATCAGCCTCTTGGTTTCTCTCCTTGATACGATGATTGATGAGCTTATCTACCAAGTAGAGTTTGCTGTGCGGGATAGCCTTCCATCACAAGGCCCAGCTGGTTCTTGTGCGCAACACTGGTCACCAGGCGCCGTAGGTTTCACACATGTGCTTTCAGTAGTCACCGGTGCAGTAATCAGCAGCATTTCAAGACGGTTGACCTCAGGACAACGCCTTGGCTGACATTCCTTGAAAGCTAATGTGCCATACTAACAACACTTTCCACATAGTCACCTTTGGGACACATGTTCTGTTTTATATGTGTTGTTCCTCCTGCCACCCCACCGCCACCATTGGATGGATTTGGCTTCCATGTCATGCAAATACTTTGGCTTAGGAAACTTGTTTTCTCAAGATCAGCCTGGCCATTGCATGCCAGTTGCCTGAAATAGGCAATATTGCCACACGTGGCAGTTTCTTTCCAGCACGTCTAGAGGCCCCTGCACGACAAAAAAGGGGGGCATGACGCTCTCAGGTCAGGGCGAAAATTCTTGAGGAAAAGCAACAGCACATATATATATAATATATATTATATATTATATATATATATTTTTAATGTTTTTGCTCAACCACCCAACATCACTGGGAGGGGCTACGGCACCAAGGAAGGCCATGGCCCAAGGCGGCTACCGTGGCTATCGCCTGGCCGGTCGCTGGCGGCCCTCGCCGCTGGGGGGGCGCTTCAAAGAGATCCGCTTCGGCGACAAGAAGAACACGCCTTCCGGTCACGAAAAAAGCTAGGGTCATGGTGGTTGAACCAACAAAGATGGTGATGCTAGAGGATTTAAGCGGAAATGGTGAACTTATAGGACGAAAATGGCTGGCTTATGGCGAAAATGGATGAACATGGTGGTTTTGTTCAAAACCATGCTGATCTTAGAGGACTTCACCGGCAAAGATGGTAATTGTTTTAAGGATTGAAACCTTAAGGGCACATGGGATTTTCGATGATTTGATGTAAACAAAAATTGTGATCTTATAGGATCTTGGTTTGTTTATGTGATTGATGAGAACTACAGGTAGTTGATCAATTGGGGTTATCATGGGATATGGATATGAAGGTTTTAGCGAAGTGTGAGAAAATAGGTGAAGCGCTAGGGTTAGTTATGCTAGATATGGTAGATATATCGAAGGAGTTAATGATGTTCATTCGGGTAAACCAACAAGCTTAACTCGGAAGCAGTACATTGCACGTCGGGTTCTGGCGGTTGAGTTTCCAATGAAGTCTTGAAAGCCCTAGCAAAAATCACAGGGATGATCTTGCTGATTTCCATATATAATCATGTATATATATACATACATATATATAAAGTTTTTTTTATTTTTATGTATGCCCAATTTTTATGGTAATTTTCGTGAAAATCCCTTTGGTTCACCAGTTTTGATGGCTCAGGCCGTTGTGGAACCACATGAAATGCCGCCGCGGCCCCCGGGTGTTGACCCCTGGGGATCGCAGCATTCTGGACGATCCTATGTTTACCCACCTGCAGCCGCCGGACCAACCAGTGGCACCCGTGGAGAAGCAGCGCCGGAGACACCACCTGGAGACCGGCGGCTTGTGAGTTGGTGAGCTGGGAGAGGCGGAGGTTGAATGGCATTGAATGGGTCGAATTTTTCGGAACCAAGGAGTTGTTTAAAGCTAAGTTAGAGTCACTAGAGTTTTAGAGAGGTGAAGTATAGTCAGAATCTTTTGGAGACTTGGTCCATTTCTTTGATCCAGAGCTACGTGATTAGAAAATGCTGGTGCTTCGGAGTCCCATCCCTATGAAGCCACACAAACTGATACATGTTTGATTTACACACATTGATATGCTGCATATATATATACATATTATATTCACATGTGTTAATATTAAATATTAAATTGCTATGTTATGTATATAATGTATACTATAATAATATTTATTTTTATATAACTTATATAAAGATATAATTCATTCTGTATTTTGTTTATTTTGAGGGTTTGGGAGCAGTGAAATCACCAGCTCCGGCGCTTGTAAAATGGCCGTGTGCATTGCGCCACTTGTCCAAATGCCTCAAGGCATGGTTTTCGGCGCCCACCCACAGCTGCGCGCGCAGCCCCAGAAATTATCTCAGCATATTTGGTCGAACTACTGGCAAAGTCATGTTGAAAATGATACTGAACCATAATGAATCCATTGAGATTTCTTGGATTTAAGATCATATTGTTTGTCACATTCTGTAAGAAAAACGCTTGCATCGCATAGCCTGCAAGACATATTTGAGCCCGCAGGCGCAAAAGCTGCACTTGTCGCAGTGACCTCAACTTACATGAAGATTCCCGTTGGGGAAATCCTTCAGTTCATGACCTTACCTATATATCAGGTTTTGGATTTTGCTACGTTGCCCATGCAGATAAATGTATAGGATATAAACAGTTTTTTTAAACAAATATATATATATATATATGATATGTATATATATAATATGTATATATATAATATGTATATATATATAATATGTATATATATATATATAAATGGGTCAAATTTCAACTTTCAAACCCCAAACTCATAGCTCAATAAGGTAGATTACAGTCCCTGGACTGCTGGGGGGGGATTTCAATGAATATCGAGTGAACATCCCAGCAGCTCTTCGACACAGTGGTTCCACCGGAAGTACATAGCAGACATACGCCGCTTCGCCGCGCGATCTCGCAGTGAGAAAACAAGGTTCTATTTGGAGGGGGCGGGCTCTGTGTATTGGTACCTCTTCGTTGCAAAGAATGTGCTGTTTGTTTTTAGGGAAGAAAAAATCATGTCTCTGCAACTGAAACTACATCTTCGGGATGTATTTTCAAGCATTTCTTTGTTTTCCACTGGTCATCATCCCCAAATGATCTATTCTTCAGTTTCCTTAGAAATGGGATGAGGGTCGGCTTAACCTATGACCTACGGGGCCATACTACTAAATATTCAGATATCATTCCATTAATGTTGATGTTTTTTTACCACCCATTGATGGCACATGTGGGGATATCTATGTATTCATTCAATATTATCGGAAGTAATCGAACACGCTCAGGATTTGGCTATGTATCATCATATTCCCACAAACTCACAGTACTGTTCCCATAGAATATTCCCAACATGTTCCCACTAAATATCCCACATGAATCCCAACATTCCCATTCAATATCCTACTACATAAATAAGATGATTCCCATAATAACAAGAAAAAACTATCCCATGCGGAAAGCCATCCGAAAAAAAAACAGTCAGGCATATTATTCTCTGTATACATCATATAATCACATATTACTATTACTTTTCCCATTAAGGCATTGCAATACCACAGTTATCCCGGAAACTATGACATTACTTTGTATTCCATGTTGGTAATTGAAGAGTAGACGGGTTTCATTACGTATGATCCCATAGAACATTCCCACTACAAAGATATGAGACATCCATAAAGATCCCATATACTTGTTCCCAACATGTTCCGACTAAACCATATTTGATTCCCACATACACACCTATTAACATCTGGTGAAGGGACATTCCTGTTTTTTTTATAGTGGGAGATCCCCAAGAAGCCTGGTCAACGTGGTCAAGCCATTCGGTTGACGTCAGGTTTCTTCGCAAGCCATTTGCAAAGCCTCCTGAAGATCATCACAGTGTGCCCCTTGCAGACCACACAGCACCTGGCCTTCCGCACACTGCAGGCGTGCGACGAGTCTGAGGACTTTCCAGGAGAGGGGCGGAACATGGCCAGTTTACTGGGGAAGATATTGGAACATGGTGATTTTTACTAGGCCATTCGGGAACATGTTGAACACAGGTTGCGGTGATTATAACTCCCACCAAGGGCCTATTTAGACCTATTTGGCCCGAAAAAAGGGCAAGATGGAAGCCAGATCACCATAGGGTTGGAAGATCATGCTATAGCGGCCATATAGCAGCTATATAGCGGCTATATAGCGGCGTATTTCTTGAAACACATAGAAAATCACATGATCCATGATCAGTTGTAGATGCAAGCAGACCACTAAAAAGACCGCCGTGTTCTGCCAGGATTGCTGGATCGGGTGTTGGCATTTCAGATCTCATGGGCCAAAGATGCTCGTTGTTTTTAACGCTGGTGGAGACAAAGCGCCTTCAGCCTGGATCATAGGTACAGTTCATCCATGGGTTCGTTCAACATTATTGTGAGGCTACATGTGTTGCATGTACCACATGTCTCTCTCTCTATATATATATATGTATATATATATATATATATTTGTGTGGTTATGTATATAATTATATATATGTGTGTGTGCGTTTGTTTAAATGATGCATACATCTTGCACATGTGATATATACATATATATATATATGGCAGAATTTATAGTACGTAGCATTTATCATTGGATTATGAAAAATAACGATCATTAGTCATTAGATTACTATATTACTTTACTTTAACTATCATTAGGTTACTATCACTATCACTGGTTGGTGGTTTGGAACATGTTTTTATTTTTCCATATTGGGAATACTCATCCCAACTGACGAACTCCATCATTTTTCAGAGGGGTGGCTCAACCACCAGCCAGATAATTATTAACTATCAGTAACCATATATTAACCACATATTAACCACATATTAACCACATATTAACCACATATTAACCATCATTAACAGTATGTTAACCACATATTACATTTTCTCTTTTTTATCCAAGGATCCGGCGCTCTCGGCTCAGCTCAACACCTGGGCGGCTGCGGCTCTCGCTCAGCTGCAGTGTCGACCCGTGGCCTCAGCCACCCGTCGATTTCGCTGGTGAAAACTGCTGGTTTTCACGACATGGGGATTTCACATGTTTTCACATGGTTTAGCCGTTGGTAAACATACAAAAAGCTATGGGGTATTTGGGTATCTCTTAACTAATACTCTTTGGTACAATCACGGTTTGCGAACTGGAAAATCACCATGATAGGTAAATCAACGAACGGCCATTTTCAATAGCTATGTTACATTACCAGAGGGTAAGCCACAAAAAATCGTATTTTGAACACATGAAAAAACAGAAAGATGCTGGTAGAATATGGGATATGACAGGGATTTGATGGAAGATCATGGGGGATTTTCTCTCGGCAATGAAACAAGGAGAGCTGAGAAATCTCTGAAATAAATGGAGATTTACAGCCGGGAAAATCATCAAACGTATTGGTGATTTCCCAGGCATGTTTGATTTCCCAGGTATTGGAGGGTATAGAATGTGGTATAATAACTATGATATACACTATAATTAATGGATAAGTTGGAGGGTTTTATTTGAAGAACATTGCCCTTTGGCATGATACATGCGTATATCTATGCTTATAAATAAACATCACTGTTATGCATAAATAAAAATAATATTTAAAGAATATATACACGTTTTTATAAATAAACAATCCACTCAATAGTGGATTTGGCCCACCATCCATGACAATCTACCGGATATACGGGGGTAAAGCCGCTGGTTCGCTGACAAATCAGGAACAGCTTGGGGATCATGCAGCATTATACGTTGAACATGGATAGATGGACAGATACATAGATAGATAGATAGATGGATAGATGGATAGATAGATAGATAGATGGATAGATGGATAGATGGATAGATGGATAGATGGATAGATGGATGGATAGATGGATAGATGGGTAGATGGATAGATGGATAGATGGATGGATGGATAGATGGATAGATGGATAGATGGATAGATGGATAGATGGATAGATGGATAGATGGATAGATGGATGGATGGATGGATAGATGGATAGATGGATAGATGGATAGATGGATAGATGGATAGATGGATAGATGGATAGATGGATAGATGGATAGATCGATAGATCGATAGATCGATAGATCGCTAGATCGCTAGATCGCTAGATCGATAGATAGATAGATAGGTAGATAGATAGATAGATAGATAGATTAGATAGATTAGATAGATTAGATAGATTAGATAGATTAGATAGATTAGATAGATTAGATAGATAAATAGATAGATAGATAGATAGAGATGGTTAGGGATGTTTAGAGATAGATAGAGATAGATAGAGATAGATAAACAGAGACAGATAGAGATAGATAGACATAGAAATAGATGGAAGATGGACATGGATGGATGGATGGATGGATAGATAGATATAGCAGTGAATCATATGGAATGCCTATCAACCAGCCAAGCACAGGTTGGGATTGTGCTTGTGCTGAGGCTGGCTGCTGTTTAGCTGCCTTTTTTGCTGCAACTTGGCATAGCAGGTGACGTCCTTTCATCACTATGGGGTTGAACAGTGGTTAAAATACCCATTCAACCCGTTGGAAACAGGCTGGCAGTCTGGAAAGGATCGTCATCCCTCCTGGGATTATGATCCTAATTGAAATTGAATACAGTACCCTCTGGTTATCTAACATAGCTATGGAAAATAGCCCATTTACACATGATTTTCCCATTAAAGCCTCCATTTATAGTGGATTTTCCATAGCTATGTTAAATAACCCGATGGTATGTTTTTTTTGATCCATGGGGAAAACATCAACCTGATGTACGTTCCCACGGCAGGGATCTACCCCACGGTAATCCAACATGGCAATGGGAAACCTCGATTTTGAACGCGGCGATCCAACGACCGTGTGTAGTAAAAGTCAATGGGGAATTGTTTGATTGGCACAGCAGCCTCCAAAGATGGGAAAGTAAAAACCTACGAAAACAGCGATGAATTATGATAAATATATGATCATGAATTTTGATGAATTATGAAACACTTGTTTTGCCATATTTTTTTTCTGGCGCTTACTATCGGTCATAGTTAAATGGTTGATGTTCAACCCAGGAGCGGCTTCCTAAGACGGAGCGCCTACGGAAGGCTTTCGGGCCGCTGCTGCAGACTGCCTTGATGGAGAAGGAGCCGCCAGGAGGTCTCTTGAAGCGCCTGGGCAGGTGTTCATTGCATGTTCATGCGGTTAAAACAATAATTAATATTATCAACTATTCCCAAGTTTGCCATAAATGGATATAAATGGGTGGTACAAACCAGCGAAAATGTGGTGGTCTATTGTTGGTTTAACCGCGTGTTAATGGTTCATGATGGTTCAGTGATTCATGGTGAGTACTCATTAATGATGATATGCGATGATGAATGGTTGATAATGGTTAATAAGTGGTAAACCATTTTAATTAATGGTGATTCATAGTAATTAATTATAATGCCTTTTGGTGACATCAAACATGGCTATAGCAGGGCATTCCCCGAGCTCAATGGAGGTCTATAGCTGGGACATGTGGAAATAGTTGATTTCCAGCAAGCGACGTTTCATTCATTACCAGAGGGTATACCGCATGTTCAGACACACCCATTTGATGCGTTTTTTCGTGATTTAGTTTGTCCCAAGACGTTTGGATATCCTAGATTTTGGAGGTTTCCGGCACTGGCTTGACCATTGTTTACCCTGTGTAAATGGTGGTGTTCCTATCCCCGTCCCGAATGTCAACCATGATGTCAGCCCCGGCGAATTGTTAATCCTGGTGCACCTGCAAAAAGTGATAATTGAATAATACAATGGGTCTAGCGCGCAGGGAAAACACGATAAAACAAGGTTAGTTAGGAGTCCAGGGGTTGGCACTAATTACTACGTAGAAATGGATGTGACATTTCATTTGTTGGATTGTTTTGGCACGGAGTGGTCTTCAAACATAGTGACTAAACATGACTAGATGCGACTTGGAGGTAATCCGAAATCTTGCATTCCATGCATTCTGTAGAGTTAGGTGAAAAGATGGTGAAAATGGCAACGAAGCTGACCTCCCGCTTATCACTGGGCTTATATCCTGACTTTCTAATCGGCCCTGACGTTTGAACATCCCAAGTGAGCTGATTCTGGAGCCTCCAAGTGCCCATAAGAACAGGTAAACGTCACAAGTCATACTGGGTTTATTTGCTCATGTTTGTGGGCTCTTGGAGTTCAGAGGGTCTAGGTCTATTTTTTCCGTTTAACTTGTGCTTTTTATATACACCCTGCAACAACTCCAAACTTGGATGAAGGGAACATGGACAGGAGACCCTAGTGTTGATGGTTGAGAGGAATGCACGATGCATGACCACACCAAATCATTAATGCATATATTGATACCCTTTGGTAATTGAATGTATCAAACTGGAGAATCACAATAAATATAAGTTCGGTAAATTTGGTAAATCATCTTTAAATCATCATAATCGATAAATGAACCATCCATACATGCCTCCCAGGCCTTGCATTTTTAGCACCTGCATGGGCTTGTGTGGCCCGCAGCCCCTTGGAGCTATGTCTTCAGGTTCCCACCCGGTTTGCTTGAGGTGAGTTTATAACAGTTTACGTCCATTTGGGCGTTGTTGTTTTCAAAAATCTGGGTTTGGCAGTTTTTTCCTTGAACTTGAGGGATCACTTAGCCAAGGTTGATGCTGATCATATCTGGCCGGTTCGAGTGTTATCATAATTACTAGATTATGTTCAGTACCAAATCTATTGGCGCCCAAAGAAAAACAATAGAGATACAAAGCAGCCATCACCAACAAACATTTGCCGCGGACTGCCCAGCCAGCCATCCAAACAAAGCTCCAGACATAGTTTTCACGGCAAATCCAGCTGGGAGATCTCAAAATCATCCAAAATTATGTGTTTCACACACCATTTGAAGGATTGCAAGTTTGCAACACTTGTACGGGTAACAAGATGGGACAGACAACGGGATTCATTTTTGCCCAACAAAAACTCTACTGCCCATATTTTTTGGACCAGATTATGGGCTACCAATCCAGAGCAAGGGGTTATGATCCCAATTTTTTGTGTCACTCGTTGGGCCTGGGTGGCATGAAACAAAGTCAACGGCCATGTGGATCATCTCATAGGGCAACTAGTGAATAACCCTGGTTTGTATAGTGAATCGCTTAAGTCCCCAATGATCCCTATGTATCCCTATGTATCCCTATGTGGGTTAGCCCAGTTTTATCCGGCATTGGTGAAACCTATGCCGAAAAAAACAGATACTACCATTTGGATCATGGTGTATCCCATATGTTTGGCTTATTTTCCCGTTATATTCCCATGATATATTCCCATAAATTAGCAGGGCATCAGCCAGCCACAAAGATAAGCCAAATTGTAAATGCTCCAACTTGGTTATATATCCCATTACTGTAGTTCTCATGAGTTGCTCATGATATCCCTAAGATGGTTCCTATTATTGCATGATGATCCCATTATCATCCCGTTAACTACATATATATATATATATATTAATGTGTGTGTTTCCATGATATGCCATTAAATCCCCGTTAAATCTTTACATATCCTATTTTGTTTCCAATATATTCCCGTTATTCTCGCATCAAATCTTCCACCCTCGGGTTCGTTGATCCTGATTGATATCCCATTGCCATTTCATTCAGCCCCTATACATTAAATCATATTAGATCATCAACACATAATATCTATATTAAATCATCAAACATAATATTAATAATATCTAAACACCAAACAAGCACTATTTTTGACATCTTAAACAACATAAAACCACTATTTTTGGTGAAATCCCATGATGATCCCATCGAAACGGCTGCGAGGTCCGAGATCTCTTGCAGCTTGGCCGTGACTTTGACATCGCTGCTGCCTGTGCAGCTCATGAGTGACCATGTGGTGCCAACCGGGAGGGGGGGGTTGACTCGAACATATGGTGGGGAAATGTGGGAAAATATGGGACATATATGGAAATTATGGGGAATTTCCCTGATTTCACCAATGAACATATAGGAAAATAGGGGACCATCAAGGGATGTACCGTGATTTCATGGGGATTTGATGGGACATGGGAAAATGCAGAGGTAAAATTTCACGGGATGACAACGGGATCATATGGAATCCTGCAGGATGACATGGGAATATATGAGCAAAAAAAACGACATCACACCTTTTTTACGCAATGGGAATCTTAATGCATTTTACATATATAACATGATCAATGGTTATCAAAGGGTTTATATAATCAGGAAATATGAATGCAAATAGTTCGGTAGAAGCGTAGTTTGTTCTGTCCAGCAATGCAAAATCAGCCTTTGACGAGCACCTTGGCCTGTCGCAATATCTGCACAATAGCAACGTTGACACCAGAGGATATTTCCATTAAATCATTAGTCATCATTGTTGACATGGAAAATCACTGCATGGAGCCTTTGAAATCTGTATTCAAAAAGGAAAACAACACTTCACGAAATGGTGTGCTGTTGTTTACCCTCATCTCCAACTTCAAGATTAGTTTATCCGCCTGTTTCTACGCAATATCTCCAGCTAGATCTAAAAGATCAGCTATAGCATCTCCCCAAAAGCGAATGCAAACAAGTATAGACAATGCAACCCATCCAAATTCAGAAAAAAACGAAAAACCATGAATCAATTCTTCATCCTCTTCCTGATTCTGCATCGAACCTCGGCCAGGAACTGGAGAGGCTCCAGCGTTCCACACAGCAGGTGCTGTTGCCACGGCTCTGTGTGGCCATGGGCAAAACGGTCGGCACCTTGAGCTGCGAAGATCAAGTGGTCCCTTGCCATGGTGGCCATGATGGCCCGGGATGATTGGATGTTCGCAAGCGGGTAGAGCAGCCTGCATTCTTGGATTGATTATGCCAAGTGCATGCAATCACTGAATATCAAGCAACGCTGGCCAATGCAATCCAGTTCACCATTTCTGATGATATCTCCCAACAATGCAAGTTTCATAGAGTTTACTTTCCATGTCTTTTCCCATTCTTACCTATTCTTACCCTATGGTATGTTTTCACATATATAACTATGGAAAATCACCACGTTTAATAGATCAATCATCCATGGACCATATCTATAAATCGTATAAATGGGTCATATCATAGCAAACTCTTAGTATCTCTCAGAAATTACCAATGGCTATCCATGAATCCATCCCAAAAAAAAGCCAACGTGCAGGGCATGGCTGGGACATTGGAGTCCTGGGCAGCAGCTGTGTCATCGCACCCGTCCGTAGGGTCTCCTTCACCTGCCAGGCGAGTTGTGGTCGTAGCTCGTTTTTTGAGGGCGGGATTTTTCATTGGATATACCCTCTGGCTATACATGAACTACAGTAACTGCACAGTAGTTGTTATAATATATATATATATATTTGTATACTGTATATTTTTGTTGCCTAAAAATAGCCCACTCTAATTTCACTTATCCACCATCATTCCCATTAATTTCCCATTCTACTCCATTTACCCTCTGGTAAATCAAACTTGGTTTGCTGGAACATTGACCATTTAGCTCGAGCTATAAACCTCTATTTAGTTCGGAGATTTCCCAGGGAATAATTGGCATCTTTGATGTACGATGGGAACGCAAAAGATACACACATAAATAAATAAATAAATAAATGAATAAACAAATAAATAAATAAATAATTAAATATATATGTTATATATATAATTGTATGCTTCGGTTTCATCAAATATAGCTGGCTGGGAAATTCTTAAAGTAGCCATGAAGGTTATAGCCAGGAAAATCAATGGACAATCATCAAACTAAATGTATCAAGACGTGGATTTACCAGCAAACTATGTAGCAGGTGATTTCTTCATCTTCGCACTTCTTGAATCGCTCAAGGTGATTTTTGTTGTTCCGATTGATGATTCCACTCGATTTCAATCACCTTTTGCCAGGTGGTAGCGTTTGACAAATGGAGGTGTTTGATTTTTCCTTATGGCACTGGTGACATCTGGGAAATCCCAGCCTTGATGGCATCGAAACCTGGAACTTCCCAAAAAAAGTCCGTGTTTCCTGTAGATTTTGTCCATGGCCCCAGTGACCAGTGACAATTTTCAGGCGGCGTTTCTGCTCCTCCGCCTTCTTTGCTGTTGCCACCGTGGCACGGGAAGCCGAACTCTCCAAGTTGTGCCCAGAGGCGCTGCTGCTGTTCCTGTCCCTCGACGAGAGCTGGGGAGATCGATTCTTGTGGCTTCATGGCTTAGTTTTGAGTCATTTATGTAGAAGAAAACATTATACATGCTGGTTGGTGGCTTGGAACATTTTTTTTTCTCCATATGTTGGGAATAATCATCCCAACTGACTAAAATTTTCAGACGGGTGGCTCAACCACCAACCAGCATGATGATCATGATGATCACCGGAAATCAAACCTGTTTTTTTAAGGAAAATTATGGAAAATTGCCGAGCTGCAGATGATTTTCCCATTAAAACTCGGTAAAACCTCCATTTTTTGGTGATTTTCTACTGCCATCCTGGAATAAGTGATGGGTGCTTGATGGATACCGAAGAAACTCATGATGATGTATAGTACCCGAATAGTACCCCAAAAAGATGCGGAAATTACGCTTTCAGGATGGTAGTTCGATGATATTTCTCTCATTTTATCCCATATTTCAAGTTTGCAACTATTCTATCTATTCTATTCTGTATAAATAGATTGCATTAGGCCTGTGCCATGCTTCCTGCCAACACATTCTTCCTGCTTTCTAGGTGGTTTTTCGCGAGTCGGCCGGTGGAAATTGTGTACATAACGAGGAATAATCACATTTTTTTTTAAATTCCACCCTTGTGACATTCATTTCCGTATAGACGAGCACCCAAAAAAGGTATAGAAAAGTGCAATCCTACCTTAAATTTCAATATCTACAGATATCTACAGTAAAATGTCAAGAATGGGTAGTTGTTATATCTGTTTGTTGTTTTGTTTCTATGGCTTGGACCGGATCCTGGGATCGGCGCTGTCAGGAAGGCTTTGAGCGCGGTGGATCGCTTTCGGGAGGCCTGGAGCCTGGCCCGGCCCGGATGCTCCGCAAGCCATGGAAGTACTAAGATTCGTTGAGTATATGTGAAAAGGATTGAAAAGGGATGTTACAAACATGGAACATATATGAACATATGAATGCGAAGGATCGAAGGATCGAAGGATCCATTTTTCATTTTGCCATTTTTGAATGTATATAGAGAAAGCGAGAGAGAGATGGACTTGTCATGGTTTGTCTATGTTTTTCGACTCCTGAATGTAGGAAACCTATAGCAAACTCCTACATGCAGTGACTGTGGTTCCCTGCCGATGTGTGTATCATATATTAATGATATTAATGCATACGTGTTTTATATGCACCGAAATGTCCATTGCAAGGCTTGATTGCCATATTATGATCAGTTTTCACTTACCAACCTGCTGACATCAAAAGAACTTGGATGGCCCGACGCAAGGACATCCCAATAAATGTACCAAACCAACCCCTCTTTTTTTCCCAAAGGCACATCAAACGGATTTCATCATTTAAAATAACAATACCTTTTAATACCCTCGCATGTTGAATAGTTTGAAGTTTTTTTACTTGGAATCCCAATGTTGAGTCTGTTACGTCATGAAAAACCCATGAAATCAACGTGCCACCATTTTTCTCCATGCCAGGACAGCCAGGAATATCGTGCCATATGTCTCAGCCTGGTCCAGTGCGGCCGAAACTTCGGGGCTGCCTTTGAAGATGACTTGCTGGACACTTTTTGCGGCTCGGCGAGAGGAGGAGACTGATGGCTGACTTTCACAAAAAACATGTTGGTCAATGATCTATCCAGTGGTTAGGGGTATTCCGATATTAAATTGACAGCCAAAGGGCTACTAAAATAGTTTTCCAACCATTTGAATAGATAATAGCCTCAAATTTGAGACTTTGAATTTGTCGATCCCATTTTGACATAATGTGGCACAAGTTGTTTTTTGTTATATAATCATTATTTGCGTATTCTTCTGGAAAGAAACCACCAGATGACCCACGGGCGGCCAGTTGGTCGTTTGATCAGGGCACATTCAGACCTAGATCACTTCCTCCAGGTCTTACTTGGGGTTGCAGGCCAGTTGGGACTAGACCCGCGACGTCCCAAGGCGAGTTGGACAGAGGCCCGGAATCGAACCGAGAAGTTCGGCTCTACTTTTGGATGTCGCTCTTAGCCATGGCCCAAGTCAAGGCCGGCTGCTGTAACGATACACCTAGTGTTAGCGCTTTTTGTTGTAAGAACGACCTCGACCTACATGAACCGATGCGAGTATACATATATTAGTTGTTTGTATTTGAGTTTTGTTTGGAAAATGTGGTAAACATGAATTCAAGGCTGGAGAACGATGTCACTTTGCCCGGATGTCAGTGACTGTAGAGAAGTAAATTCCAATTTTGCACAGACTTGCGTCAAACCAAGCCAGTGAATGTTCTCATCCCCCAGTTTCACCAAACAAATAAAATAGATTAGGATTAGAAGTGGATATAACATGATAGAATTAACCACCTCTCTTACAAACCATTTCCCACCCATTCGCGAACTATTTCCTTATCATATTCATCAAATCGTTATCACTTTCTGAGTGCTTATCGCTTACAGGGATGTATACCCATGACTAAGCACTAACCAGACATTTTATCTCACCATTTACCACCGATTTTTCCTACTTTTTTTCTCAGATTTTATCACTTGTAACATGACACTCATCATGAATTCTCACCATGTCTTCATACATGTCTCAGATGTTTTCAGCATTTTAACACATCTTCCCACCATTTTTTTCGTTAGATTGGTTTCAGAAAAATCATTAATAACCGGAAGCCATGAGTTTTTTTCCATTCAATATACTCGGGGGTTTCCGGAAAAAAAAGCCTTAAACCAATCCGATGATTTTCCTTCAGTCTGTGACTGACCTCTTGGAGAGGGCGATGGAAAAAAAATGAAAAAAAGGAGAATCCAAGGGAAAAAAATGAAAAAAGGGAGAATCCAATGAAAAAAATCGGAAAATCATCCAAAAATGATGGTTTATCATGGGTTTCCCATCATTTTCCCAGCATTTTCCCAGCATTTTCCCAGGACCTGCAGCGCGCCTGGCCGGTGCTCCTCCGCTGCCTCCGCGGCAGCGGCGCCTTGGCGGCGCGCGCCGTGGCGCTGGCGGCGCTGTCGAAAGCGCCCGCCTGGGAGATGCTGACGGCTGCGTTGGAGGCCTTTGAGGCTGGTGGGGTGAGGGTTTTTTGATGCCCTTCATTGGGTCAATGGCTAGCTGGTAGAATTTTCAGCCAGTCTGATGTTTTTGATGTTTTTGATGTTTTTGTGTCTTGATGATTCATGATGATTCTGGATTTTTGTTGGCCCTGTCTCGAATAAAATCACCGCTTTTGATGCTGAAGCATCCTGATTTCTCCCCATGCTTCATTCTTACATCTTAACATCAGCCAAAATCATCTTACATTATCCAGAATCATCTAGATTTTTTTGTTGAGGGTGAGGAAAGGCCAACACACAAAAAAAATCTTAACATGTTTACCTGAAATTATCATGTATATTATATTGTTTATTCTCATTTCATATCCTCCATTTTTTTGATAAGCCCAAACTCTGAAAATTCGGGACCCCAGTCCGTGGGACAAAATGTTGTTGACCTTCTTTGTCAATCGAAAACGCACCCCAAATCAAACCTGGCCATAAATAATGGTCAATGTTGTTTTTTGGTTCTTTTCTTCTATGTATTCCCATGTTTCACATTTTTCCCAGCCTTTCTAAAAAAAAAACGACCCATTCGCGTTTGAGAACTTGGCCAACACAGAATTCCCGGAAAAAGGCGGCGGAGGGCGAAGAGATCATGAGTGCCTTGCAGCACAGCATCGATCGCTTTATGGAGCTGGCGGAGTCGGAAGGTGCCTTTTTTGAATCCAGTGGAGCCAGTAGCGATGGAGCTGATGTTTTTCCGAACACATATACCCTCTGGTAAACTAACATAGCTATTGAAAATGGCCATTTATAGTGAGTTTTCCCATGAAAAATTGTGATTTTCCATAGTTACGTTAGTTTACCAGAGGGTAATTATACACAATAATAATATAATAAAATACACATATGATATAAGATGATAAGTTTCAATATAATGATATATCTCAGATAGAAAGGTGGTAAGTACCCCATGACATTCCATAAATTAGTGAGTGGCTACACTTCAGATCTGGGGCAGCTGAGGTAAAAAAAAAAAATGTTGCACAAAATCGGTGAAGTATGAATGGTTACGAACTAGATCTGGCTGGTGGTTTGAAACATGAATTTTATTTTTCCATATATTGGGAATAATACTCCCAACTGACTAATATTTTTCAGAGTAGTTGAAACCACCAACCAGGTATGTATTGTCATTTCTGTCATTGTTTCAAAATCGTATGCGTCACAATGACAAGAACAATCAATCACAATAATAACCATTAATAATTAATAATCATTATCGTCCGCTTTTCTTGTGCATCATCATCATTTTTCTTTCATCATCACCATCATCACCACCGTCATCATCATCATCACAACATATGCCCGTCCTTAACCCTTTCCTGGATTTTTTTCTGAAATCAGCAGCGTGCTCATCCTCCGCTACCCACCTGTCAGGCGGTCAGCAGGTGACCGCGCTGTTGCAGGCGCTTTTCGGATGTCCCAGTGCAACGGAATGAGTCTAGTGGCTGTTGGATGCCCATGTAGGAAACTTCTTCCGTTGAATACCCTCTGGTAATTTAACGTAGCTATTGAAAATGACCATTAATAGTGGATTTTCCCATTAAAAATGGTGATTTTCAATAGCTATGTTAAATTACCAGAGGGTACATAGAATTAATTGGCAAACAAATGAGGAAAAAGATGGAAGCAAATCGAGGCCACTTGTTGCCGCTTCATGTGGATCTAAACTGGCATAACAGCTGGACAAATTTTGTGACTTGGTGCTTCAAAACTGCCCCCGCAATATGTGTTTGCCTCTTTGTTTTGCTCCTCACTCTGACAGACTTGCTGATTGCGCTGGCGAGATACATTGATATGCATTGATATGGGACGGGGGTCACATTCGCCCCTACCCCAGGGGCACATTCGCCCCTACCTCACAATCCTTTCCATTGAATAAGTCATTCAACCTTTTCGGGTTTGACCTGGGGACAAGGGACATTTAGGGGGGACTTGGGGACATTGGTTATGGGGGGCACGGGGTCACTTGCCTTCCACTGAAGAAGTCATTCAACCTTTTAAGGTTTGCTCTGCAAACAAGGGACATTTAGGGGGGACTTGGAGACATTGGTTAGGGGGGGGAACGGGTTCACTTGCCTTTTTACACTTGTGCATTGCATTACATCTCAGTTCCCACACGGTATCAAACACATCCAGAAAAAGACGCATCCAGAGCGTCTTGGAGTTGCTTGAAATGGATGTTACAACATAGCATCCAGAGCGTCTTGGAAGTGACTTCAAGTGGATGTTGCAATGTAGCATCCAGAGCGTTTTGGAATTGACTTCAAATGGATGTTACAGTGTAGGATCCAGAGCGTCTTGGAGTTGCTTGAAATGGATGTTACAACGTAACGCTTGAAAAGACGTCGAAGCTGACTGTCACAGCTGAAAAACGATCCTTTCGAGACTCTGAAACTATTGCGCCTGCCTCGCAAAACGAGGTCGGGTCACATTCGCCACGTTCGCCCCTACCTCCACCGTGAGTAGGGGCAAGTGCGACCCCACATCAGGTAGGGACAAATGCGACCCCAGTGCCCATTGATATACCAACACTTCATCTTAAACCCTGAAACCTTTCAAAAGCTTGGATATAGCCATTGTGTAGCTTTTTGGTTGCTATATTGCTATCCCCATTTGCACATCACCCCACTGCGTATCCCGGCAGGAGTTACAGCGAAGGTGCCACAGTGCACAGCAGAGAGGAGACGACAAGAAGGCCCGGAACACCCGTCAGGCCATTACCTGCTATACGCTTGGAGGATTGTCCCATTTACCATCTGGTTATTTAACATAGCCATGGAAAATATGGAAAATCACCATTTTTGATAGGTAAACCATCTATAAATGGGCCATTTTCCATGGCTATGTTAAATAACCAGAGGGTACATTCTGGATATTCTGGCAAACATACAAAAACTATGGAAAAACACTATTTTTGGATGACGTAAATCATCCGTCAATAGGCCATTTTCAAAAGCTATGTTATCGGAGAGTAGTAACTGGTTAGCAACTGAAGTGATAGCCTACTTACGCATCGCCCCAGAACTTGGGACTTGCTAACCAGGCTTATTAATCAGTTGCTAAGTGGGATAATCCTCGGCGCACACCATATTTGGTTATATCATTTTGTACCGCCCCATTATGTCATGAAACCTTATGTAGATTTTTGGTCAAACCCATTCGTGCCATGGGCAACACTTGGATTCTATAATCGCCTGACCATCACCGGGTGGTCATCCATCCAGAGGGATTTACATGTTTATACGTATATAAATATATATATATACATATATAGATACATATGTGCCTGTATATACATAGATAAATAGATAGATAGATAGATAGAAAGATAGATAGATAGTTAGATAGATAGATAGATAGATAGAAATTATAATGCATACTGGTACCCATCAACGAGGATTTCCATCATTGGATAGATGACAATAAACCAGATACTAATACCATGTTTTGACCGGAGCCTGACAATGGGGATCCCAAAGATTAGGACCGGGGTAAATGAGAAAATTGATGCTGATCTCAACCGGTTCCGCTTGGGTCAACTAAGGATTGATAAACCTCCGGTACATCAATAAGTAGTACCATCTGGTTATGACTAACATAGACATGGAAAGATCCACCATTTTTAAGAACGGTAAACCATCTATTTCTATGGGCCATCTATACCATGGCGATGTTAGTCATAACCAGAGGGTACCAGTTTTAGGTGACGATGGGTCACCAACTGAGCAGGCCTCATGCATGATGGCGACGATGTCCAGTTAGTGTTCAGCAACAATTCCATACACGTAGATAGATAAACTAATTGGAATTAGAAAAGCCATGGAAATACTGATTAAAAAAAAAAACTGACACCGTTTATTAGTTAGATAAAGCATTATCCAACTGGCTTTAAGGGTTTTAATATCTTTTTTTTTGCGGATCAATATACAATACAATTAACAGCTGAACAAAGTATACGTAGGGCGACCTTGGCAATCTAACCTGGCGATAATTTTCTATTGCCAGGTTTGGTTATTGTATTTACCTTTTTGGCACATGTTATAGATGAATCTACTATACTTTGATTAAACTCATGCCAGGTGAAATGACCTGAACCTGTAATTATCAAGTTATATCCCCATTCCTAGATAACATTGTCAAACCCCCCGCATAACCCCATGATGATGTTTAAAACGTCATTTCAGTCTACCTCTTGCAAATTCCTCTATAAACAAACAACCCGGGTTGTCACTAATATAGATTTCTTTGGTCAGGAAGTAATTCTTTTGTCTACACTCAGAACCCAGATCCCCCTTTAGGGGAGCATGTTGGACCATGTTTTGTTTGGAGATGCCATGTTAAAGGTCAATTTAGATGTTTGTTTATTTTCTGAATTTGCTCACAATTGCCATTACACGCCGGCCATCGCACAGATTACAGGTGATACCAACAATTTTAACAAGTTTCAACTCTTTTTCCACTCTAACTTGGAACTCTTGATTCTTTAGAGAATACTTCCAGTTTTTTTTGTGCTTTGTGTATTTAATTTGGTTGCATGTGTGGTTATTTTGTAAGCGGGTTTCAGACCCCCTTGCCTGCTGGCCTTTGATATCCTGGTGGTTTATCAAGTTGCGCATTGTTTTGTCAAAACCATGAGATGTCCAAGGCAGCCATTGAAAAAAACAGGGGGATGTTTTCGTTGGCAAAGAGGCCGCGCTGCTGTTCCAGCTCCTTTGTTTGGCCCTGCAGAAGCAACCAGCTGCCACGGTGCAGGTGTATTTCATGGGGACTTAATGGGATTTAGTAGTGATATATAGATACTCTCTATGCGTATATAATTATATATGTATATGTATGTATACAGAGAGAGAGAGAGAGATAAAGGGAGAGAGAGAGAGAGATATATATATATATACATGATCATACATGATATAGATATATAATATAGATATAACATATAGATATACAAGATGTATATATATATATATAGATATATATCTATATAGATATGGACTGGATGAATTATGATGACTTCATGTCGTGACGCCACTGGAATGATGGTGACTCTAAGGCTCTAAGGGGAATCATCCCCAAAATGGCCGGATGGTCAGTGAGCTTCTATAATTAAAATAATTCAACCGGAATGGTAAGGCTTGGTTTAAGAAGTGTTGCGTTGAAGGAAGATCTATGGTTGAAACCATTGTTTTTACTGCCAGACCTTAGGGTTTTATGCAGGTTTTCCCTCAAAACAAGTTCCGGGATCGGCGAATCTTTGTTCAATGGGCCGTTTGTGCTTAGAGTCAATCTGTGTGGTTCATCGCTCTTCATTTTATTGGGCTGGCGGCAGTCCAGCAGCAACTTTCAGGAGTCCAGAGTGCAACCCAACTTTGATGGCTTTACATCCACAATTCCCCGCAATGTAGACACATCTACAATCAT